GATTTTATTTGCGAAACTTTCCATTCTTCCTTTCAAAACTTTCCCTTTGGCGATCAGTCCCTCTGGGCTGACCCACTGAAAGAAGACAAAGGATAAAGAGCAAAGAGTGTTCCCTAAGGGCTATGGCGCTGGGAGGTTACAGAGGGGCCATCAGCCCTGGAAACAAGGTGCTCCGGAATACTTTGCCCAACATTTCACATCCTCACGCACCCCTTAGTATTGCTATTTTTGGCAGTGCTCTCTGTTTGGCTTTAAAAGAGAAAGAGGGGAAACTTGCCTTGTTTTGAGGGTATAATAAAGTGTGACAACACAACTCTGGCATCTCAAGTAGCAGGGAGAACTCTAAGGCAGAAGAGGTTCTTCACAATAATGCTAACCCAAAAATCTCAGTACATGATCACTTACTGTTTCCACGACCCATATAGGGATTCCTTGAGATTCTTTCTCTCTCTTACACACACACCCCACCCCCCACAACTCAGTTAGAGGGGTTTTATCCCCACCAGAGTAGGAAACTTTTGCCTCATTTATAATAGTCTAAAAATTCACACTGTTTTTTTCCATTCTTTCTAGCATAAGTTCAGATACTACACTTCAAAAGAAATGCCTTGAAGCATTTTTTTTAGTTAGAGACTAACCTGTTGGCCACTAACTTTGGCCCTGTCTATACTATAGTACAAATCAAATATGCAGTTGCCTCATTTCCTTCCCCTAAAAGCATCATCGCTCAGAGCCACAAGCTCCTTAAATGGAGAAAACCCAAAACCCCCAGGAAAGGTGATAGAAGTCAGCCCCTGGTGTGCACTATCAAGTTTTGAAGGTAGAGAATGTTACTTAAAGGGCTGACTAGGAATGGCCTGGTGGTTTTCTTCTTCCATCTGGGTAAATTACACAGATCTCTGAAACTCATTCTACCGCCATTCCTAGACCAAAAAAAGTATATCTGAGAAATTCTCACTCATTATTATCCTTATATTCCTCACTCCCTTAAAATATACTGAGGGAAGACCCGGAAGCAGATCCTGCGGGGCGACAGGCAAGCTCAGGCTACTTGATGTAAAGATGATGAGGATGAAGACCTTTGTGATGATCTACTTCCACTTAATGACTGAGCCTATCTGTTCATGATGAAGAGATTACTCAGAACTGATCTCCACGGCTGATTCCCCATTCATGCTTTCCAAGAGTAACTAATCTTACCTGAGAAAGAAATCCAGAGGAAGAGGAAAGAAAGAAGAGGAGGGAATGGCACTTTCCCAGGGACTGTTTACATTCAAGGATGTGGCCATAGAATTCTCCCAAGAGGAGTGGAAGTGCCTGGACTCTGCTCAGAAGGCCTCGTACAGGGATGTGATGTTAGAGAACTACAGGAACCTGCTCTCCCTAGATGTTTCTGAGGAATTATCATCAAAAGAAGACAATAAAGAGGAATTATACCATCTGGTGATATTGGAAAGAAATGAAAGCCATGGCATCAAGAAAGTCTGGAAAAATATGCATAAGTTTGACAGCCGGTGGGGATATGATACAAGAAATTACAAAGGAGTGCCTTTTACCCATAACAGAAATTCATAGAAAAGATCAACAACATAATAAATCTTCAATTAATTTTTCTTTGAAGCATAATGTTTCTGTAAGAGATAATACCTACCAATATTTTGTACATAGCAAGCCATTCGTAAGGAATTTGTTAAAACTGAAAAATAACATAAGCTGTACTGGAAACAAGTATGTGAAGTGTTTTGAAAATAGGATTGGATTAAGCCTAACAGCACATCTTACTGAACTGCAGAGATTTCAAACTGAGGAGAAAACTTATGAATGTAATCAAGTTGAGAAGTCTATCAACAATAGTTCCTTAGTTTCACCACTTCAAACAATTCCTCCTACTGTCAAAAACATTTGTAATAAATATAGGAAGATTTTAAAACCCCCTTTGTTACCTACACTATACAGGAGAACACACATCAGAGAAAAGTCATACAAATGTAATGACTGTGGAAAGGCTTTTAGCAAAAGTTCCAACCTCACTAATCATCAGAGAATTCATTCTGGACAGAGACCTTACAAATGTAACGAGTGTGGCAAAGCCTTTAACCAGTGTTCAAACCTCACAAGACATCAGAGAGTCCATACAGGAGAGAAACCATATAAATGCAATGTATGTGGCAAAGTCTGTAGTCAAAATTCAAACCTTGCAAGTCATCAGAGAATGCATACAGGAGAGAAACCATATAAATGCAATGTATGTGGCAAAGTCTGTAGTCAAAATTCAAACCTTGCAAGTCATCAGAGAATGCATACTGGAGAAAAGCCTTACAAATGTAATGAATGTGGTAAAGTATTTATCCAGCGTTCACATCTTTGGGGTCATGAGAGAATTCATACTGGAGAGAAACCTTACAAATGTAGTGAATGTGACAAAGCCTTTGCTGAGCGTTCAAGCCTTACTCAACATAAGAGAATCCATACTGGAGAGAAACCTTGCATATGTAGTGAGTGTGGCAAAGCTTTTAAGCAGTGCTCACACCTCACTAGACATCAGAATATTCATCCTGGAGAGAAACCACACAAATGTAATGTGTGTGGCAAGGCTTTCATCCACAGTTCAAGCCTCCTGGAACACCAGAGAATTCATACAGGAGAAAAACCTTACAAATGTAATAAATGTGATAAGGCTTTTATCAGATGTTTGCACCTGTGGGGTCATCAAAGGACTCATACTGGAGAGAAACCCTACAAATGTAGTGAGTGTGGTAAAGCCTTTACTGAACGTTCAAATCTTACTCAACATAAGAAAATCCATACAGGAGAGAAACCTTACAAATGTAATGAATGTGGCAAAGCTTTTACCCAATTTGCAAACCTTACTAGACATCAAAAAATACATACTGAAAAGAAACATTGTAAACATAAAATACGTCGTAATGCTTTTATCCAAAGTTCAAACCTTGGGCATCATCAGAAAACTCAGAGAAAAACATAACAAATATAATGAATAAGACAAAACTTAAATGTTCAAGCCTTATCAACATCCGAGACTCCACTATGAAGACAAGCCATATAAAACTAGTATATGTGGAAAGGCCTTTAGCCAGCGCTCACACATCACTTGATATGAGTATATACATCTTTGAGAGAAAACCACGCAAATAAAATGTGTATGGCAAGGCTTATCCAAAATTCAAGCCTTGTGGAACATCCACAGGTTCTTATTGTAGAGACACCTTACAAATGTAGTGAAAATGATCAGCCTTATAAAATATTTACATCTTTGTGGTTATGACAGAATACATTCAAGGTGGAAACCATACAAATATGTCAAGGACTTTAAAGCAATGGTCTGACTCAGGATACACCAAAGAATTAATACTGGAGAGAAACATTACAAATGTAATCAGTGTGATGAATTGTTTAGCCAATTCTCTCAATGGATTACACGTACAAAAATTTATACTGGGGGGACTAAGTCTCTGTTCCTTCTTGAGAATTAACTGATCTCAGATGTTAAATTCCACAGATGATTAAAAAGTGAAAATCATTTAAAACTCATGAGATGATGTGTGTCAAAAGAACAAGGACATCTACAGAAAGATCTATCTTCACTTTATTTGAGATTTCTTAAGAAGGCTTTGTTATTGATGAATTACAACTTGACATTTGAAATCTGTTGATGGTATATCTTCATTACATGCTTTTAGTGTATCATGATTGTCTCAAGTAAGGGACTGATAAAATGGAGGGGCCTAAATATACAATATAAATGTGAGAGCATGGAAGTGAAAGAATAGAGTTAAAACTGTTATCTAAATTATCATGCTTTATGTGGTCAGGACCCCTTCCTTGATTTGTTGATATGACTGAGAACCTCTGTTGATGATAGGAAAGGTAAGCTTACTGTACAAGATGACCAGGAAACAAAGAATAGGCCAGAACATTGAGAGAATGAGATTTTCATGGGAGTAAAATGATGGGTTGCTAGGGACTGCATATGTGGCAGAAATAAATGGAGGGGGAATGATGGTCACCATCTCCTTTGAAAGATAACAGCTATTGCATGTCACACATTATTAAAAATTGGTCTTATTTTTGAAAAAAAAAATATACTGAGGGAGAAAAGATCTCTCCTTAATGCCCTACTAAAAACTAAATATAGTGAACCCTATAAACAAAGTCAGGTGGCCAACATGATAATGGGAATTTCAGCAAAATATGACTGGATTGAGTAGGGAAGTTGTCTTAGATAGAGCTAGAATCTTTGTTAGTCAAACCCTAGTAAGAATAATTTAGTGTTCTTCATCAGATGAAAGGCCTTCAATTTCATCTCTGTCTCCCCTAATTGCCATCCAGAATGCTTTGGTCACCTTTTCTGCATGCAGCTTTCTTTGCTCGTGAGGAAGCGTCGCAGCCTTGTCTTTCATTTCCTTTAACTTTGAAAATAGTCTTTCAAAATTCTCCAAATCTCCTCCTCCAGTAGTAAGACTGGCTAATTCCTGAATATCCAGATCTAACATGGGATCCACGATGCTGTCGACCTAAGCGCCTGCTGTGTTAGATGCACCTCCCCGCTGACCGGAGAGGGACTCAGTCCTACCTGCTGCTGGCAAATGGAGCTGCTCTGAGCGACAGGTCTCTGTTGACCCAATGCTATGGTTTGTTCCAGCCAATGAGTTGAGAAGGCTAAAGCCCTGGTTCCTGTCATTCTTCATCACTACATTGGACCAGACATTGGCATTCAAGGCTTGTACAGTTCACTTTACTCCTGTAGATTCTGGGAAGTCATTATCTTCCCCTGGCAACTCCTCTGGACTAAGTTCTACTAATTCAAAGCCATGTTTGATGCACCATTCTTGAGCTTTTTGTCGGTTTACACCATTTTAAGATACTCTATCACAGACCAAGATCATCACCTCAGGTAACCATGCTTCTGCCAGTGGAAGCCATGAGGAGACACTATCGAGACCTGATTTTTGTGTGCTGTCAAAGTAAACCACAAATGCTTGGACAGACTCTGCAATCTCTGCAGTGACAAGAAATTTGTTTGGCACCACACATAGATTGATATCTGCTGAATAGTATTTAGTATCAATGGTCCAGGGATAAAATCTCACAGCATCATTGGAAGTCACTTCCACAGTAAGATCTTCTACTCCGAGGATCTGTTGGACCAGCCGGTCTCCGGTGAAGGTAGAGGAGCAGCTAGTAACCAGCGCACAAGGGACACCCGCAGCCATAACTGCGCCCGCAAGCCGGTTCCATCAGAGCTGTGCAGAATCTTTTTAGCTGGATATGATACCATTTATCCAATTTTGCTTTAGTTGCCTGTGCTTTGGGGGTATTACTCAAGAAGTCCTTGCCCAGACCAATGTCCTGAAGCACTTCCCCAATGTTTTCTTTTAGTTGTTTCGTGGTTTCAGATCTGTAATTTATTTTGATTTGATTTTTGTATATGGTAAGATATAAGGGTCTGGTTTCATTATTTTGCATATAGATACCAGTTTTCCCAGCAGCATTTGTTGAAGAGACTGTCCTTTCCCCATCGTATGTTCTTGGCAACTTTGTTGAAAATAAGTTCACTATAGATGTGTGGCTTTATTTCTGGGTTCTCTATTCTGTTCCGTTGGTCTATGTGTCTGTTTTTAATGCCAGTACCATGCTGTTTTGGTTACTACAGCTCTGTAGTACAATTTTCAGTCAGGTAATGTGATTTCTCTAGTTTTGTTCTTTTTGCTCAGGATGGCTTTGACTTCTCTGGGTCTCTTGTGGTTGCATATAAATTTTAGTATTATTTTTTCTGTTTCTATGAAGAATATCATTGGTATTTTGATGGGGATTATATTCAATCTGTAGATTACTTTGGGTGGTGTGGACATTTTAACAATATTGATTATTCCAATCCATGAGCATGGAATATATTTCCATGTTTTGTGTGTGTGTCCTCTTCACTTTCTTTCATTAATGTTTTATAGTTTTCATTGTAGAGATCTTTTACTTCTTTGGTTAATCCTAGATATTTTATTTTATTTTTAGCTATTGTAAATGGCATTACTTTCTTGGTTTCCTTTTCAGATTGTTTACTGTTGGCATATAGAAATGCTGCTGATTTTGTATGTTGATCTTGTATCGTGCAACTTTACTGAATTTGTTTACTAGTTCTAACAGTTTTTGTGTGTGTGTGTGTGTAGTCTTTAGGTTTCTCTAGATATAAGATCATATTGTCCACAGACAAGGATAATTTGACTTCTTCCTTTCCAATTTGGATGCCAAATGTGTGTTTTTTTATAAGCAATATTGGTATGCTATAACCTACTGATAAGAATAATAATAGATGATAGAAATGGCTAGAGAAGAAAGGGAATATATTTTAACCATTGGGGAAAGATTGATTTAAAGAGCCTTTCTTTACTACTGGCTTGTTTTTAAAATGTGCTGACTGAAAACTTCTCACCATAGTAATCCTGCTTTTCATTTCTCAGACTTAGGTAAACCAGCAGACTGTAGTACCAAGTTGCCCTTCATCTGTGAAAAATATAATGTGTCATCATTAGAGAAATATAGCCCAGATTCTGCAGCTAAAGTACAATGTTCTGGAAATTGGATTCCTTTTCAGAATAAGGTAAAAGGAGAATTGCTGCATCGTGTAAACAATGACGGTTTTCATGTTGCTTCTATGGCCTATGGCAGAATGACAACCCATTGGACAGTTTGACTAAGATAGCCTCTGCGTATTTCAATATCCCACCTGATCCTCTATTTTTGCCAGAAACCATGAGTGATATTAAGAGTTAATTCTCAGGTTAGTCATACTTACAGGTCTTTTAACATACAGTATTTCATTCTGTTGCTACTAACACTTAAATTGCTGAAGTTGATCTGTCAGTGGATAGTGATACATTGAATAGTCAGAGCTATCTCTGTGGCATGTAGGAAACTCACTTAAATTTCTGGCTGATGTTTTCTTTTTCCCCCCTGAAGGAGAGCAGCCAAGCAGCATCTGCTAACCAAATTAATCTAATATTTCACAAACTACTTTTCAGGGACTACAGATATGCTATAAAATATTAATCATTGATCTTGCCTCTAAATGGGGGTTTTATGATTAAGTCAGTTTGGGAAATGCTGTCTTTGTATCTGCCTCTTTGAGATGCATAATACATAGTGCTATATGTATCTATTAGAAAATGCATTTGGCAGCTAAAAAGAGATTGCTACGGTATGTTAAAACTTTTATTCTCTCACATTAAAGAAGTTTGAAGGTAAGCAGACCTGTATGGAAGCTACATGAAGTCTTCAAAATCAGGCTCCTTTTGTTTCTGCTCTGCCATCCTTATTATAAGGCTTCCAAGCTCAAGTTTAGGATATTCTCTCTAGGGTCTCTTCTAGAAGCCACCCAGTGAGTTTGCCTATATGTCATTGACCACTCCAGTCTGTAAAAAGTCTGAAAAAAATTTTTGTGGATTGTTTCAAAAAACACAATTTGGGACATACTACTCTATACTAAAGTGATCATAATGTCAAAAAGAAAATGGAAGAGATGTACCTGACAGCTGAAAGCATTTGTAGTAAAGTTAGGGGTGCATTTTTACTTTTAAAATTAGGACAATCTTTTTAATTCCCCAAGGTACTGGAACTATGTTAATTTGTATAGTTGATGTCAATTGGAATTAAAATATCCTGCCAAGAGAAAGAAATATGATTTCTTTTAAAATGTGTTTCTTGATATAAGGAGATGTTGATTAAGATCACAGATTTTTAAATCAGCTGGAACACAGTCTAAGTGCTGACTTCACTACCGTGTGACTCTTTCATTTATGGGTCAAGTTACTCAACATCCCTGCGCCTCGGTTTCCCCATTTTCTGTGAGAATTAAATAGGATAATACTACACAAACTGCTTAGCACACAGGAAGCACTCAAGAAATGGGAGATTTTTAATAAATACATAACAGTTTGAAGACGACTTTTCAGTTATTTAAATTGAGAATTCTATGGTACTACTTTGTAATTATCCCATCTCACAGACCAAAAATTAGCAGCCCTCTAAAATATGAGGCATTTACTTCCGATTTGAACTTTCTCCTGTCTAGAATCTTATGCTTCATATGTGTCTTTGTTCGCAGTGTTTTCTAAAGATCAAATCCATGTCTCTTACCTTTTCTCAAGCGAGCGAGATCTGTCACTCCTATGGTGGCACCCTTCCTTCAGTGCTGAGCCAGAGTGAACAAGGTACCGGAATTGTTTGGGAAACATGTTTTGTTTTGATCTGGGGGCCAAGTTAGTTTGGGGAGGCTGTGGAGAATTAACACATAAGAAATATTATTCAACTGCTTTCTACAGAGCAGGTAAAAGACTATCTTGATAATTAAGCATTGACATTTTACCATAACTTTAATTTGAATACATCAAATGCTTTTTTAAAAAAATCTCTTTCTAACAGATTTTATTACATCCTTGCTTCCGGGTATGGAAGCTACTTTATGGATTGGTTTGCGCTGGACTGCGTATGAAAGGATAAGCAAATGGACGGATGACAGAGAGCTGACGTACAGTAACTTTCACCCATTATTGGTTGGTCGGAGGCTGAGAATACCGACAAATGTAAGTTGTTGGCATCAGTAATCAGTATAGCTCTGTGAAATACCCGAGTCTTCCATAAATTACTGGATTGAGAACAGTGGCCTATTGTATGATTCCATTTATATACAGAATAGGCAAATCTAAAGTAAAAAGTAGACTAGTGGTTGCCAGAGGCTAAGGAGGAGGGAAAGATTGAGAATAATGGCTACAGGGGATGCAGCTTCTTTTTGGGGTGGTGAAAATGTTCCAATATTGATTGGAGTGATGGTTATGCCACTCTGTGAATATACTAAAAACTACTGAATGTATACTTTAAATGAGCAAATTGTCTCATGTGTGAATTATAGCTCAGTGAAGCTGTTACAAGAACAACAACAACAGGCACTTCCCCAGGCTTCAGGTAGATGCCCTAGTTTTTCACAGTAGCATCAGACTGGACAGCACCTATTTCACAACCATGTAAAGCCATCAAAGAGTGAGTTGTAAACAGAAACGAATACAGATGTTTTACTTCACATTTTGGAACTTTGAGATCTGAGCCTCAGTCTCCTGAGGCAAAAAGTACAAAACTGACAGTTGGTTATCGTTTTCCCGAAGAGCTACCTGTAAAGAAGCCATAGAAGGGAAGAGGGCATAACATTGACGATGTTGCTGCTGGCACCACAATATTGCTTCCCACTGCTCTGTCCTCACTGCAGACCACCTTTTGCAAAGGGAGCAAAAATTGATAAATTAACATGAATGTCAAATTCTAGGAACGTGTCTTAGACAATCATCAACTGATGTTTCTGACACAATGTTACTTTGCTCAAGGTTGATGTTGGTGGCAAAGGAAACTCTGAAGCATGTGTAACTGTCTACAAAGTAAATATCAAAATAATACTTGGTTATTACAGAAAATGTGGAAGTTATAGAAGAATAAGCACAACAAAGAAAAACGTCAACCCTAATCTTAAACTTAGGACCATGGCTTTTAAACTTCTAACCATAACCCATAGTAGGAAATATATTTAAATCACCATCAAGTACATAGATATATTAATAGATATAATATTGAACTGAAACTAAAATTTCAGGAAACAATACTCACTCTTAGAGATTGTGCACACTGATATTTTTATTCTATTCTATTCTATTCTATTTCTTTCCATTCCATTCTCCTTTTTTATCTTATCTTTTCCTATCCAATCTACCCCTATCCTATTCTATTCTATTTCATTACCACAAATACTAGCCAAGATCCACTGTATTGATTCCATGACTTAAAATGAGTCTCAAACCATATTTGAGCCTTGATATAGGGAATTACAATGAGTATTTCAGCATCTTTTCTTCTAGAGCTTTTTTATACATTGTTTTCTTAACATAGATGAAATCATAGTACACACGCTATTGTACTCTACTTTTCTCACTTGGCATTACATCATAAGTAGTTTCTTCTGCCATTAAAATATCTACTCGATAAGCATTTTAACGGTTGTACAATATTTCTTGATGAATATACCATCTTTTACCTAACCAATGCTGCGTATTGATTAGGTAAATATATTTCCTGCTGTGTTGGTGGCAGACATATTGGGTTGTTTCCAGTTTTACATAATCATAAATAGTGCTGCAATGAACAATACTGAGTCTTTGTGCATAATCTTTGCCTATATTTCACATTACCTCACAATAGATTTTAGAGATCATTCTTTTCTTTTGTACAGAAATATTTTTTCTCAAGACAGGCTCTTGTTCTGTTGCCTGAGCTAGAGTGCAGTGGTGCAATCATAGCTCACTATAGCCTCAAACTCCTGGGCTCAAGCAATCCTCCCAGCTCAGCCCCCTGGGTAGCTAAGACTACGTGTGCATGCCACCATGTCTGGCTAATTTTTTTAAAAAATTTTTTTAGAGATGGGGTCTTGCTATGTTGCCCAGGCTGGCCTTGAACTTGTGGGCTTGAGCGATCTTCCTGCCTGAGCTTCCCAAAGTGCTAGGATTACAGGTGTGAGCCCCCGTACCCAGCCTAACATTTTTTATTAATTTTTTATTTATAATTGGCATATAATAATTACATAATTGTGAGGTATAGTGTGATGTTTTAATGCATGTATACATTATATAATGATCAGATCAGGATAATTATCATATCCATCACTTGAAACATTTATCATTTCTTTGTAGTGATAGCATTCAAAATCTTCTCTTCTAGCTATCTTGAAACATACACTACATTGTTCTTTGCAGAGATCATGCTGTAATAATAAAGAGATTTGGTGCAGTAGTTAAGGGCACAAGCTCCAAAGTCAGATTCCCTGGGATTGAATCCCAATTCATCCATTTACTATGCCTTTGGAAATTTACTTTTCTTAGGCCTCAATTTCTCATCTGTAAGCTCTGATATTGTTGTACTACCTCATAGGGTCAATGTGAGGATTACATAAGATAATTCATTTAATACTTTAAGCATAGTAGCTGATGCATAGTAAAAAAAAAAATAGCCATTATTATTTTTTAATTTTCTCTAAAGTTACTGGGACATTTTGGTGTTTCCACTTTTCCTTATGACAGTTATGCTAAGTAATACTTTTCAAGACAGTTATCTATTTCATTTAGATTTTAAAATGTATTATAATAAAGTTGTACATGGTATTTTCAAAATCTTTGTTATTGTATTTTTACTTTGTTTTGTTGAGATTTTTACAAAAACAGGTGCATATTACTGGTTTTCTCCACTCTCTTCTCTACCCTTTACTCCTATTGCTTGACCTATATTTACGAATACTTTCTT